ATGAGCATAAGAAGTTTTGAACTTATAGAACTTTTGGTACTTGAGTTGTAATGTCTTTAATTGTTAAGATGATACCCTTAACAATTGGTATGTCGGTGATTTGATCCAAAGGATGTCTTTAAGTGCTTATCTGTCATTTGACATTTGATACGAGTCTAATGACTCATTCTCAATTTCTTTCAGAAATGAAACGTACCAGGAAAGTAACTAGAAGGAACCTGACTGGCCGGGCACCGGGAGGGTCCGTGCAGGGAAGTAGAGGGGCCTCTAGAGTGTCCAGGGGACGAGGCCGTTGAGGCCAATCTCAAACCGTGAGTGACTGTCACGTGGAGACCACAGACGAGTTTTATGTGTCCGAAGAGGACTCGACGTATCAACCGGGAACTGAGCCGATTGAGACCCCATATGATGAGGAATATGATGACAATGATGAGGAGAGCGATGATGATGGTGCTCTAGAAAGGATGGAGGAACTACTTCGTCAATATCAGCAGGATCGCCAAAGGCGCCGAGAAAGGCGTGCCTTGGGAGGGGCTTCAAGAAGAGGAAGCCATGTGAGTTCTAGGGAACCTGTAGAGTCCCGAGAAGGTCGAGGTGCCAAAGTCCCAATAATAAGGATCTCGAAGTACTTCAAGGAAGCGAGAGATTTGGGGTGTAAACTGTTTGAGGAAATGGGAGACATCTCCGTTGCGGCCGAATGGATCAAATGATTCAACGAAGTGGCCCTCGATATGCAGCTACCGCCAAACATGAAGATGAGAGTAGAAATGCGGTTGCTAGAAGGAACGACCTCCACGTGGTGGGATGGGGTCAAAGGGAAGTATTGTGAGACGGTCACTTGGGAGAATTTCCGATAAGAATTCTTTATCCAATACTACTCCGACTTCGAGGTGAACTTGAAAAGGAGAGAATACACCAACTTGACCCAAGGAGGCAAGTATACCATGAGGCAACTTGAGCACAAGTTCAGGGAGCTTGTTGACTTCATACCGGAGTATGCTTGTGATGAGAACCGGATGGTGAACCATTTTTGGGATGCCTTGGACTTGGACGTGCGGGACAGGGCAACACAATTGCCCAACATGACGTTCAGTCAAGTGGTCGAACAGGACCTGAAAGGAGGAAAAAAAATGGGAGGAAAGAAAGATGAAAAACACCGAGGAGGTGAAGAACAGAAAATGGGAGAACCCCGGTCCTCAAGGTTCTAGCAAAAAGGGGAACCACGGGGGAGCTGGGTCTTTTAGAACACTTGCACCACCATCAAGGGGAAACCAAGGCCCAAGTGGGCAAGGCTCGAGGTCTCAAAGCTTGGGCATTATAAGGTGTAATAACTGCAAGAAGAACCACACGGGCAAGTGTCGTGATCCCCCAAGATGCTACCAATGCGGGGAGGCGGGACACTTGAGAACAAATTGCCCACAACTTGAGCGAGCCATGGGTGTAGGACCTAGTAGCGGGACTACGGCAAGCAGGAACCGGACAGGAGCACCTCATGCGAGCACGGGGCACGGCGGGCCAAGTACGAGCAACGCGCCATCCGTGAACCAAGGCAAGACTCAAGCTAGAGTCTATGCGATGACATAGGCAGACGCACGTGCCAACCCGGACTCCGTTGCGGGTAATACCTTAAACTCGTAATTTTTACTCTATTGTAAGCAATAGAAGTGTTGGGACTTGTAAATTTATAACCCCGGCAAATTAAGCCGGGTTTGGATGGGAAAAATGAGGAAGGAATCCTCGCCCTTGCCGAACACCGCCCGGCTTTCGTCCTTATTTAATTGAATTAATACTACGGCACTGAATGCCGGGCGGTGGTGCTGAAATATGGCCGGTAAACAGAAACGACTTCTCGTGAATGGGAATAGCTCACGAAAGCCGCCCAGGTTTCATGAAAGCCGCCCGCCGTTCAAAATGAATTTATGGAATAAAACTACGACGCTGCACGTCGGCCGGATCCTACCGAAGGACGACCGGCTTTTGTAAAAAATTAATCTGGGAAATTTTCTCGCTGCTGAAAACCGGTCGACTTTTGTAAAGCTCTGCCGACTTTTGAAAAATATTTAATTTGAAATCCTACGGTGCCAAGAACTGACCGGCTTTCGTGGAAACCGGTTGGCGCTTGAATTACAAGAAACCCTACGCGGCCAACACCCGGCCGGCTTACACAAAGACCGGCCGGCTTTCACCAAGGTTGGTCCTAAGGCAGTTCTAAGGTATGGAAACTGGGAAAAGTTGGTGGAGTGTCGGATGGTCTTTATCCGAACCATGACCGACGTACTCTATGATCTAAGAAACGAGTCTATTAAGTAGAAGGTGTGTCTTACATTGCTTATGAATGTAGGAACACTAAAGATTAACAGGAGAGACGCAAGAATCCTTATTGACACCGAGGCGTAGCGATCATTTGTGAGTGAGGCGTTCGCTGGGGGATTCAACGAACCGCTAGTGCCGAAGACTCAACCCCTATTGGTGTCTACACCTTTGGTGGATGATATCGAAAGAGATAGTCACTATCCATCATGTGAGGTGGAAGTGGAGTGCCTAACCTTGACGTGGGATTTTTTACAGCTGAGCATGATTGAGTTCGACGCGATCCTCAGAATGGATTGGCTAGAGAAGCATCATGCTAGGGTTGATTGCTACACGAAGGTTCTTGAACTCGAAATCAGCGAAGGGTTGAGCTTACACTTTGAGGGAGATAGAGGCAAATCAAACAGTTGTATCATATCCACCGTGAGGGCAAGGAATATGATGAGAAAGGGATGTCACGCCTATCTAGCATATGTGATGGGCAAAACCAATTCTCGAAGAAGAGTTAGACATCAATGATGTGAGAGTAGTGTGCAAGTATCCGGACGTCTTCCCAAAAGACCTACCGGGACTTCCAGCCGATAGAGAGATTGAGCTCGTGATCGAGGTTGAGCCCAACACTAAACCAATCTCTATACCGCCATACCGAATGTCACCCACAGAACTAAATGAGTTGAAAACCCAATTGCAAGAGCTTTTGGATAATGGTTTCATTAGACCGAGCTACTCCCCGTGGGGAGCACCGGTACTATTTGTGAAAAAGAAAGATGGGACGCTTCGAATGTGCATTGACTATCATCAACTAAACAAGGTCACATTCAAGAATAGGTATCCTTCACCTAGGATTGATGACTTGTTTGATCAGCTCCGAGGAGAAACAGTGTTTTCGAAGATTGACTTGAGGTCGGGGTACCATCAATTGAAGATAAAGGAGGATGACATACCGAAGAGTGTTTTCCGCACAAGGTATGGTCACTTTGAGTTCCTAGTCATGTCGTTTGGGCTAACAAACGCCCTGACGGCATTCATGGACATGATGAATCGAGTATTTCATAAATACTTTGACCGGTTTGTGATTGTGTTCATAGATGACATCTTGATTTACTCAAAGAGTGAAGAAGAGCATGAGGAGCACTTGGTACTTGTTCTTGAGACACTACAGGAGAAGCAACTATATGCTAAATTTTCCAAGTGTGAATTTTGGCTAAGGGAGATTGGCTTTCTCGGTCATGTGGTTTCGGGATCGGGAATCTCCGTGGATAACAAGAAGATTGAGGCCATTACCGAATGAGAGAGGCCAAAGAACGTCAAGGAAATTCGTAGTTTCCTTGGATTGGCAGGGTACTATAGGAAGTTTGTGGAGAAGTTCTCAGTTTTGGCATTGCCATTGACAAAGCTCACTCGAAAAGGGGCTAAGTTTGTATGGGATGACCGATGTGAGAAGGCATTCCTTGAAGTAAAGAAAGGATTGACCAAGGCACCGGTACTTGCTGTAACACCGGACCCGAATTTTTACCCAGAGGAAATTTTTGATCAAGTACATGGTTAAAGAAGGTAAATCAAGACTAGAGTAGCCTTGATAAATGAGAAATATAAAATTATTGTCTTAAATTAATAAAAGATTGTTGATCAGATGCGGGACCCACATCGGGAGCGGGGACCACCCATGGTATTCTAAGTGTTTAAGATATTAATGTTGACATAGATGATGCTATTATGATAGTAGGAATGGGTCGTGGACCCCAGTGATATAAAGAATGACAACAGGATGGCCGAGTGGGCCGAGGCCATTATAAGATAATTGAGAGCCCTTAATTCTCGGACTGTTAATAATTCGGAAGACAATGAATTAACGAAAGAATAAATATAAATATTTTAAGAACCCAAAATAATGGGATGATAAATATATAATTAATTTGGTACATGAAAGGAGGGTATTTTTGGAGGACCCTACCTTGAAGATATTTTTGTATGAGGACAAACAGATAAGATTTTATCTGCTCATACATTTTGGACCACTTAAAAAAGTGTAACATTGTATTAAATTGTCACAAAATATAAAACCACATGTTAAGTTGTGAGAAATGACGAGTGAATTCTCGATGCAACGCGTTCTCATTTTTACTGTTACTTGAACAGTAAAATGCACGTTGGGCCCACACATGGGCGGGGACCATCCGATATTTCCGGGATCACATATTATATTCATCTTGGTCTAGATGATATTCATATGATGGTTTATATTTATGTTTAGCCATAGAGTTGGCCATTTGATCAAAAGCAGTCCCATTACCGGTATTGGTAATTCAACAGATAATAGCCCGAAATAAATTCCGGGAACCACGAAATTAAAGTTGGATAATATATATTCATTCTATAGGCCAATATTGATTGGAAGAATGATATATATATATATATATATATATATATATTGTATTTGACCGATAAAAAAGAAATTTAATTAAAACAGTCCAGAAAATACATCTTTCGAGACCGATTGTACACTTTTGGACTTAAAGGGATGACCTCCCACATGAGTGGGGGCCACCCCACGAATTATACAACCAAATGAGCTGGAGAGTGAGGTGTGTGATGTGTGAGGGGATGTGAGAGACATAAATGAAAGGTAAAGGGACCCCCTCCCATTATATTGGCATGTGAGACCAAATGTGAAGGTCTCCTCCACCTCTCCCCTACCCACTTCGACCAAAACCCCCAAAAAAATAGGAGAGAGAGTTCTTAAACACAAGTCCTCCATTTTTGAATCAAGCTCAAGGTTGAGGAAGACTCAAGGAAGAAGAAAAGCTTGGAAGAGAAGAGAAAAACATAGAAAAAATCAAGGTAATGACTTCATTAGTATTTTTCTTTCTTCTTTTAATCTCATATGATTTTTTAGATCATATGATACACCCATAAGATTGTTCTACACTTCTATAGGTGTAGAATGATGGGTTGGAAGGATAGTTTTGATCATGAACGGTGTTATGACCGGAGTAAGACCGGTTCGCCGGAAAACACCTTCCCGGAAGGTTTTGATGTTTATGCCACTTTTGGTTGTGAAACCTTGTTAGGAATTTTACCAAGGTATTCTAGACTTCTCAAGTAATCTAGGAGTGGATGGAAAAGTTGCCGGATCCACCGGAGTTTTCGCCGGAAAATTCCAAAAGTCGCCGGAGTTCAATCGAGGAGGCTAAAAGCTCGCTAACGTCATTTCAAGGTGAGTGGACGACTACGTGTCTTGTAACTCTTGAGTCAAACATGGGATTACCTAAATAAAATCCTTATCATGATTTTAGAAATGATTAAATGGATTAAAATGCATGATTAGTCATGGTGAATATGAATTATGGAAATATTACATGATTAATGAATAAGAGATTTATTTGTGGATTAATCATGAATATATTATTGTCAAATGTATAAAAAATGCATACATGGACTATGTATGAGATAACTAGAGTAATCTAGTATGTGAATATGTATAGAAACGCTCAAAAGTGTTTGAACATGTGATTAGCTATAATGAATATAAGTTATGTGAAAATGGCATGATTAATGAGTAAAAGAATTATCCATATTTTTGATGAAGGATAATCATGAATGATTTATTTGGACATTAACTAAGGTAATTCAAGATGGTATTCTTGAAGAATTTAATTACTTAATCATACATGTCATTAAATTAAATCTAGTTATAAAGAATAAACTAAACGAAATATATGAACGATTAATAAGTATGAAGTACTTATTAACAGTTGTGAGAAGACGGCTTTATGCCTTAAAACTTTTGCGTGAGGCATGAGATTACCAAAAGTAATCAAGAATATGTTTTATGGAATGATTAAAGATAATCAAGTATTTGCTTATACCATGATTATATATAAAACATAGTTGAAAAGCATGTTATACATGTTTGATGATCAAAATGTGATAAATTATTATGTATGATGTTCCAGGGATCCAAAATGGTATTTTTGGATTAATGACGTCAAGAAGTACATGTGTATAAAATTTCACGTTAATCGGACTTCGTTTGGGCGGTCAAACGGGCGTTGACCGCCAAGACAAAGGTGATACCCGACCGGGTATGTGTAAATACCTGACCAGGTATTGATTAAAAATTGCTCCAGAAGCCACTGCCACACTAGACCCGACCGGGTCTGGGTATAAACCCGACCGGGTCTCAAGTAAAGTTGGTTCCAGAGGCTACTGCCTCACCATACCCGACCGGGTATTGGGTTATACGCCCAATATGCAGTTTTTGAGTAAGTTTACGTGGGCCGTTCGGGTGGGACCCGTCCACGTTGCTTGCTAAGGCTTCGAATACGGTTTAAACGCTAAGACTTGGACTAGTCATTAGTAAAGAAATTGTAGACCACGACCGGGCGAGGTAAGTGGTAGATTATACGTGACAGGTGAATACTCAGGACCGAGTAAGGTCAGGTAAAACTATGTAGGACAAGGATGAGTCCTTTATACTCAAATGTTAACAAGGGCTCGTGTAGTCCTTGAGATGTGTTAACCTCCAGCAAATTACACATAGGTAACAAGGGCAAATGCAGTCCTTGAGGTGTGTTAACCTCCATCAAATTGCATATAGGTAACAAGGGCCCGTGTAGTCCTTGAGGTGTGTTAACCTCTAGCAAATTACACATAGGTAACAAGGGCAAATGCAGTCCTTGAGGTGTGTTAACCTCCATCAAATTGCATATAGGTAACAAGGGCCCGTGTAGTCCTTGAGGTGTGTTAACCTCCAGCAAATTACACATAGGTAACAAGGGCAAATGCAGTCCTTGAGGTGTGTTAACCTCCATCAAATTGCATATAGGTAACAAGGGCCCGTGTAGCCCTTGAGGTGTGTTAACCTCCAGCAAATTACACATAGGTAACAAGGGCAAGTGCAGTCCTTGAGGTGTGGTATCCTCCATCAAATTGCATATAGGTAACAAGGGCCCGGTAGTCCTTGAGGTGTGTTAACCTCCAGCAAATTACACATACGTAACAAGGGCAAATGCAGTCCTTGAGGTGTGTTAACCTCCATCAAATTGCATATAGGTAACAAGGGCCCGTGTACTCCTTGAGGTGTGTTAACCTCCAGCAAATTACACATAGGATGAGGGTGTATGCATACTCCTCAAGGCGGGGTTAGCCCCGGGAATGTATACTATGATTGTAAGGACGAATAGTCCTCGAGGTAGGTGAACCTCAAGTAATGATTTTAGATAATTAAACATGTGTGATCGGGAATGAGTTCCCGGTAGGGTATTTTCCTTGGTCTAGGAATATAATTTAAACCATGTCTGTGATATGGGAGCCCGAAGGGCCCCCCGCAATAATTATCTTTGTTATCGGGTGAGTTAGCCTGCGGGTGACTCCACTCGAGGGTAGGACATGGGAAGGGTGAATTTAATGAGTCTGTTACGTCTAAATGATTTGAAAGACAAATGGGCCCACGGGCCGTATATTTTACTCATATGTATATATGTATATAATATGTTTTGAAAAGGGGTAGCCAAGAGTTATGCCTATACATATACTATCACCCTATGTTGAGGGTCCCATGTAAGAAACGTTAGTTATATTACATACAGTTTGCCCTCACCAGTACTTTTCTATAGTATTGATCCCTCGGGGGAACCACCCTTTCAGGTTGAAGCTAGAACTTACTTCCTACACCCGTTGTTTGGGAGATCGATGGAGAGAAGTTGTGGTTCGTGATTTCTCTGGTTCTATTTCTAAATAATTAAATAATGCTCATGGAACTATTTTTGACTTATAAATTAATGGAGCCTGCGAGCTCTTCTTTTACCCTTATGTGGGTTCTTATTAAACACTTATATTCCGCTATGTGTTTAATTGTATGTTAATGTTGTTATGTATGTTTACTAATTGGTTTTGGCATTTATATCTATCGGACGTCTTGTGCAATTTAGTAAGGATGAGCCGCGGTTATTCTTATTAGGTTGTACGACGGTTGTCTACGTGGCACGGACGCAGTCTGGGGCGTGACAATTAAGTGGTATCAGAGCCATACGGTTACTAAACTATATAGTCAACCTCTCAACAAAGTTTCTATCAAAACAATCTTTTAATGAAAATCCATGAGCATAAATTTTGTACTTTAAGAGCATTTGATTATCGAGTTGCAAGGTCTCTGGTTGTTAAGATGGGCCTCTTAACAATTGGTATGACAGTGACTTGAGCCAAGTTGTGTCTTAAGTACGTTTCTGTCAATTGACATTCAAACGAGTCCAAAGACTCATTTCAATATATTCTTTCAGGAATGGGTGGTAGCGATAGGGCGGTTCGAGGGAATCCGAGAGGGCGCACGCCGGGGATAGCCGGGCAAGCCAATCGAGGAATATCAAGGTCGCCAAAAAGGCGAGGTAGGGGCCACCAAGGCCAACGAACACGAGCCGCGATGGCTGATCGCATTATGACTGGATTCGAGTCGTGGAACTCGGAGGATGACTCAACTTATTACCCTGAAAGTGAGTCAGATGATACTTCTTTTGATGAAAACGGCGGGGAGGATATACATAGTATTCCTCTTGATCAGGTTAGTGAGATGTACCGATGGTACTAACGGGAAAGGGAAAGGCAACGACAAAGAGCCCAGGTGGGGCATGTCAGAGACGAGACCTCTCGCAGGAGGGGTCGAGGTGCTCACCAGTACTTTTCTGTAGTACTGATCCCTCGGAGGAACCACCCTTTCAGGTTGAAGCTAGAGCTTACTTCCTACACCAGTTGTTCGGGAGATCGATGGAAAGAAGACGTGGTTCGTGATTCCTCTGATTCTATTTCTAAATAATTAAATAATGCTCATGGAACAATTTTTGACTTATAAATTAATGGAGCCTGCGAGCTCTTATTTTACCCTTGTGTGGGTTCTTATTAAACACTTATATTCCGCTATGTGTTTAATTGTATGTTGACGTTGTTATGTATGTTACTAATCGGTTTTGGCATATATATATATATATATATATATATATATATATATATATATATATATATATATATATATCGGACGTCTTGTGCAATTTAGTAAGGATGAGCTGCGGTTATTCTTATTGGGTTGTACGACGGTTGTCTGCGTGGCATAGATGCGGTCTGGGGCGTGACACTTGCATTACCCAAACTAGGTATGGGGTACGATGTCTATAGCGATGCAATCATCCAAGGGCTTGGATGGATGTGTGTTGATGCAGAATGGGAGGGTGATTGCCTATGCTTCACGACAGTTGAAGAAGAATGAGGTAAATTATCTTACTCATGATCTAGAATTGGGGGCAGTGGTATTTGCACTGAAGATTTGGAAACATTATCTCTACGGGGAAACATGTCACATATACAGTGACCACAAAAGCTTGAAGTACCTGTTTACTCAGAAAGAGTTAAACATGAGACAGAGACGGTGGATGAAGTTGATAAAAGACTACCATCTAGTTATTGAGTACCACCCCGGTAAAGCCAATGTGGTAGCGGATGCCTTGAGCCGAAAGAGTTCGTCTGGGGCATTGTTGACTAGTTTGAGGGCATTGAGAGCCTAATTGGAGGTATCTAGCGATGGTGCCTTGTTAGCTAGATTCGAGGTGAGGCCTACATTACTTGATGAGATCAAGAAGGGTCAAGAAACTGGCGAAGAACTTATGAAGGTCTGTGAACGTATGCTAGCGGGACCGGTTGAGGATTTCACGGAGAGAGAGAATGGTCTCCTATTATTTCGTGACCGAGTGTGTGTACCATCTGATGGTGAGCTAAGAAAGTCCACCTTAAAGGAGGCTCATTCATCGGCGTATGCCATGCACCAGGACGAAGATGTACCGTGATTTGAAAGAAAGTTACTGATGGTCTGGTATGAAGAGGAAAATAGCCGAGTACATCAGTAGGTGCCTTACTTGTCAGCAAGTTAAGGCAGAACATCAGCACCCAGCTGGGTTATTGCAGCCACTTTCCATTCGTGAATGGAAATGGGAGCACATGACTATGGATTTCGTGGTAGGGTTACCACGGTCAGTTAAGAACTATGATGCCGTATGGGTTGTGGTTGATAGGCTCACGAAGAGTGCACATTTTCTACCTATCAACACCACCTATGCACTGGAGAGGTTAGCCAAATGGTATGTGGATGAGATCGTGAGGCTACACGAGGTTCCAATAACCATTGTATCCGATAGAGATCCATGATTCACATCAAGATTTTGGCCGAAGTTCCAGGAATCTATGGGAACAAAGTTGAAGTTTAGCACTGCCTTTCACTCACAGACAGATGGACAATCCGGGCGGATTATACAGATATTAGAGGATATGTTGAGAGCTTATGCATTGGAGTTCCAAGGAAGTTGGGACAACCATTTAGCACATGTGGAGTTTGCCTATAACAACAGTTATCAGGCGAGTATAGGCATGTCTCCATACGAGGTATTGTATTAGAGGAGATATCGTATACCTTTGTGTTGGGATGAGGTTGGCATGACAAAACTTGGGAGCACAGAATTGATGGAAATCATTAAGTCAAATGTGAAAATGATTCGGGAGAGGATTAAGGCGGCCCAGGATAGACAGAAGAGCTATGCCGATAAGCGCTGAAGAGCCTTGGAATTTAAGGTGGGAGATGAGGTATTGTTGAAAGTTTCTCCTTGGAAGGGAATCACCCGATTTCAGAGGCGAGAGAAACTTAACCCACGATAAATTGGGCCATTTGCAATTCTTGAGAGATTTAGTGTCGTAACATATCGATTGCAATTGACTCCGGAATTGGAAAAGATACATAGGATATGTGTAGGGTTGGTTGTCCCCGTACCGGTTGAAGACACCATTCATCACAAAAGGATGCCCCAAAATAGGATATGTGTAGGGTTCAGTTTGGAAGGTTACGGAGGGTTTGGCATCCCAGACGCCTGTCTCTGAAGAGTAAATCTGGATCCCTATGAAAGTAGGATCGTCTTGTTCATAACCGTAATTTGTTCGGACGAATATGTACTTGGCCATCAGTTTATTTTCATTCTCCTCGAACATCAACCCGATGGATGAGCACCTATACTGCGGTGGTGGTGATGGTTGCGGCAACGAGACGTACTTATCAGTAATAAGATTCAGGACATAGTACTCTTCAATGTCTTCATGGTTTCGATTGCGGCAGAGGATCAGCCCACCTGATGAACTTACAAATTCGTATTCGTCTAGTTTAGGAGACCCACGCTTGATTCCGAGATTACCAGGAAGATCTAGAGAAAGTAGATTTGTCGCCGCTGTTTTGCGTTTCTTTGATTTGGGGCGATAATAATAAAAGCGAGACTCTGTTCTCTGGAATAATAATATCCCAAATTTTGAAGAAATTTGAGATAAATATTCATGGTAACATTCCAAATTTGGTAATATCCCAAATTTTCACATATAATTTAAATATTTCAAATTTTATGTAAAAACTTATTTAATTTTAGAGTGATGGTCATAGGTCATTTCTTTCAAAAATTTAAATTTATGATGTTAATTGTATAATTTAAACTAGCAAATTAAAAATGTTGCAATTATAGAAATTGCTCTAAATAGGAGCAAAACGTTTTAAAATTCTAAAATAGGAGTGTCATGTGTTTTTATTTCCTGGATAGGAGTAATCTGACAAGTTTGGAAAAAAATTGCATGTTTAAAGCCTAGTAATGTCAAACTTGGCAGAAATTTACTCATGTTCAAGGAATAAAAATCATGATAGTCCTATTTTGGAATTTCAAATTTTTTTACTCCTATTTAGGGAATTCTCTCTTTTATTTATTTTACAATGAAAGTTTAGAATGTTAATTGTATATTCATGAATGTTAAAATATTTTAAATTATGAAATTAAAACCAAAAATTAACATAAATAATACATGACCATGGTACCAAAATAACTTTTTTGTATAAAGTTTAAGGTATTTAAATTACATACGCAAGTTTGGAGTACTTACCTCACACACCTTCAAAGTTTGAGATATTTTATTTATTTTTCTCAATTAATTATAAGGGTCCTTAAATAGGATTAAACGAGTTTGTATATTTCATAATAAGACTATCATGTTTATTTTATTGCTTAAATAGGAGTAATAAATTTCATACTTTGGCCGTAATAGACTTTAAACATGACCGTATTTTTCAAGCTTGACAGTATTTGCTTCTATTTGGAGAATAAAAATTAGTAATTATCTAAATAGGACTAGAGTTTGGCTAAAAATCACAAAATGGACTAGCCTCAAATCAATCACAAATAGGACTAAACATTGATTTTCTATCATAAATACCCCTAATGGTATTAATTCATTATGAAATGTTTTTATTCATAGTAAAATCGTAAAAAATAAAAATCATAAGAAAATAATTAAAAAATTTATAAAATATTTATATAATAAAAAATTTCAAATTAAAAAAGTATATGATTTTTTTAAAACAATTAGTAAAGAAAATTTAAAACACATAAAAAAGGGGAAAATGAAAATAAATAATTCAACTTTTATTCGGTCTTCTTTAAATGATCCTTTTTATTGATAATTCGTGAAAACTCCAATATTTGGTCCTCTAAGTGGCATTTACAGGCTGTGGAATGTTTTTATGTGTATAGTGATCGGTTAACTGAGTTTTAAGTATATACGGAGTAATTAATCATCATGCGGACGTCCTCCGGCTTTCTTTCTCCTTCATATTCCTTATTTCACACAATTCATCACACCCTTTCTCCGTCTTAATTTCTTCCGGCCTTCATCTTTCTTGCTGCTTTCTATTTTCTTTCTTCACTTCTTCCTTCTTCCTTCTTCCTTGTTTTTCTTATTTGGATTTGTCCGTATATATTCAGATTATATCTTTGATGTCGATAAAAAACATGAATTCAAAAGCTTATGTTTCCTCTTTGACGAAATCCGGCAAAGAGGTGAATTCAAGCATGGATTTTCATCCCAACAACAACAATTCGCTTCAGAGAGTGGTTAAAATGGGATCAATGTCGGGTAGATGTTTTGGGTTTATTATCTTCATTGATGTTATTACATACAAAGTAAAATTAGGGTTTATATTGAATGTGAGTTCGGTATTATTTGATTAACTTGGATTTGGCTATACTTTGAGTACAAGAATGAAATCGTAAATGGGAGGAATTGAAGTTTTGTGTATGTAATTCAGGATAATAACTTGAGAAAAGGGTCAAATAAGGCCTTCTACTATTACGAAATAATCACATAAAGTAATGTACTCAATAAAGTGTCATATAAGTACCTCTACTTGTATAAAGCAACCAAATGAGTCCTAACGGCTTATTTAAAACCTCCTAATCCCGATTTTAGCTTATATGTCGATTTTTTTATTTGTATTTCAATCAATCTTAGTTAAATATTCGACATATGCCGTATAATGTATTCTAAAAAGATGGTCATAAGTACGTTGAAACCGGGATTAAGAGGTGTTAAATAGGTCATTAGGACTCATTTGATTGCTTTTTAGAAGTAGGTGTACTTATATGACACTTTATTGAGTACATAGCCTTCTGTGACTATTTCATAATAGTAGAATGCCTTATTTGACCCTTTTCTCTAATAACTTTGATTCATCAAGTGGGAAGATTGTGTTGATGGTAATTATTGTTGACAGACATTCATTACCTCAGACTCAAGAGGCCAACACACATGAAAAAGGGACTTACAATTGACCTACAAGTTGAGAAAATGATGTTGGAAAAAAAGATTAAGATGATGTTGGTAATTATTTTTATAACTACGTTATAAAAACTTGAGTGTTCAAGGAATGAGAAGAAATATTCACTTTGAAGTTTAGTTCAATAGTATTATTATTACGATATTACTGTAATACTCCCTCCGTCTCAAATTGTTTTGCAAAGTCAACATTTTTTGGTCAACCAATAATAAAAGTCAATGTTGCGTATCGATAATTAATTTAATTGTTAATAATTAAAATTTACATATTCATAAACTACATTGAAATCTCTTCAAAGTTGCAAATCCCAAATTAGAATATAAATAAAAATTGACATCCTAATTGAGCCAATAAAATGAAATTGTTTGACCAAGAAAAGTCAAATTTTCAAATCAATTTGGGACGGAGGTAGTAATACATAGAGGATCACTTATTTTTCGAAAGTACGACCAAAGTTATTTTTCGGGCTATATTGGCTGAAGTTACTGTAGAGGATCACTTTAGCTATTTTTTCATATAATTTTTTATTTTATTTATTAATAAAAAATATTTTAAATTTAACTTTTTTATGAATCAACAGAATTAACAAATACAGCAACATCAACTAGAACTTCATAAATTTCAATTGAATAAGCCAATTCAGCCAATTTTAGTGTTACCAAACGGGCTCTAAATTAGGAATCCAAAATCTTTATGAACTCATAATCCTAAGGGAAAGTTCCTGAAATAGAACTAAAATAGTTTCAAAATTCCTAAATAGAACTGTCATGTTTTTTATTCCCAAAATAGGGCTAATTACTGCCATGTTTAGAAAATACTGTCATGTTTGAAGTCTGATACAGCCAAAATATAACAATAATTAATCCTATTTTGAGAATAAAAATATGACTGTTATATTTTGGAATTTTCAAACTGTTTTAATCTTAGGCGGTATCTCTAATCCTAACGGTGGTAAAGCTACAATTTTACTACAAAAGGCGGGTCTGGCGCGACATTTTAATTAACTTTTGATAATCCCAATTGAAATTAAATACTCCCTGCTCGGGTCTTCTAATTTTTCTAATACACACTTGGAATAATAACTTGTTGATCTTGGAGGCGGCATGGATGAGCAAATAGTGATGGGAGTTCTACTCTGTTTGCCTCCCAAAGCAATCTACCGATTCAGGGTCGTATCTAAATCCTGGAATGAACTCATCTCCCACCAGTTTTTTATTGAGAGGTACGACGGCAGGCGGCGGCAGCGCGGCGGTCCACGTTTGTTGGCCTTGTTCCAGCGAACAGAGTCTTGCTCTAATCCCTCCCGACCTAACAATCGCACGAACATACTCTCCGTCGATCTTCCCCGTAATCGCAAAATCAAACGCCGGTCTTTAAAATTACAGGATTGCGAGTTCATAAATTCTTCGAACGGTTTGATCCTCTGCCGCCGCAGCAACAATCGGTACCCCAAAGAGTACTACGTTCTCAACCTTATTACGCAAAAGTTCGTGTTGTTGCCGCCGCCGCCGGCGAAGTTGCAGCCTTGTTTCACGGGCATTGGTTTGATGTGCGAAGAGAATAAACAAGAACTGTCCGCCAAGTACATAGTCGTCCGTACATATTCTGACAGATGCGAAAATTTGGGTATCGAGACCTACTCATCCGAAACCGGAGTCTGGGCGGCCAAACCGAGTATAACCCGCACAGCCGGATTTATGAGATTTCTAATGTTGGGTAATCCGTTAGTGATGAATGGCGTTTTCCACTGGGACCTCCTCGGCCACAAAACACTGGCGCTTTACCGTCCCCGTGAAAACAATCTCCAGTTCATCCGTCTCCCGCTTAGTCTATATGGTCTTCTTGGTCTTGTTCACGATTCACACGGATCCCATGCTTTTACAAGGTCATCGATTGAGGACGGGGAAATGTTATGGTTCAGCACCATGGACTCGGGTGCAGCCATGACGGTTTTCATGCTCCCGAAATGTGTAGAAGACGGGGCTAGCAAAAATCTCCGGCCAACTATCATACTCTGTAATGAGTGGGTGTTGGTATACCGCATAAGTGTTGATTCCCTCTGGAACGATGTGGTCTTACTGTCGCCGAAGGCGAGGAAGGGGATTGTGAAGGATCAATGGGGGAGCGTTAGGCAAAGGAACATATTCTTGGATGCCTTTGTTCCGGCTAAAAAGGAGGGCAAGAGTTCTCTTGCCCTGATTCTCAGGGTTGAGCGAGGGGGCTTATATCTTTATGACCTTGACCACAAATCCATGGAATGTATTCGATATTGTGGTGGCCTAGTAACCAAGAATGAGGATGGAAATGTCTGTAATTCACTAACTCTATGTCCTTATTTAGAGCCTTCTTCCCTTTCTGCATACGCTCTTGATTAGTTTGGTTCTGTGATTATTTAGTTAGTTTAATTAGTCAAGTCCAATACTTTGAAGTTCAGAGTACTTTGTATTCTTCTTTATGCATGGAATATGAGAAGTGAGCAGGGGCATAGGCAAGCGTAAAAGTTGAAGTGGGCTATTCATATAAAGACTAATTCAAATAATTTTTTGTTGACATGATTTTTTACATTACAAATATATATAAGCATTATATTTCAAATTTGGGGTGAACCAAGACAAGTTTGTGCTTTGCCAAATGCAAGCTGTGATTAATTCCCTCTCATTCTATTGCCAAGAGTATCCCTTGATTCCATGAATTACTGATTTGATGAGTTTAATATGCTTTCAGAGTAAACTACTAAAGGTGTTTTTTATATTTTTGTAAAGTGGAATATGAATTGAAGTTGTAAACAATCTATTGCTTCACTTATTACCAGATTCAAAGTAAATAATGTCAGATAAAAGTTAAGGTGTACTAGAACATATATTAAGGAAATCAGCCAGACGAAACATAAGCAGAGCCTTAAGGAATTGTAAAGTTGGAATTAGATACCCACTAGGCTATCAAAATTTGTTCCCTTCTGAAAATTTTAATCTATGAGCCCCTACCTCAAACTAAGACAAAGTCTAACTTAAGCGGGCATGAATCTTTTATTTATGAGTAATATTTTGATGAGCTTTTTTATTATGTATAAAGTCATAGTAAGGAAAACATTTACTTTCTTGTGAAAATATAAAATGTATATTATTTAAACTAAAAGAACGTCAGAATTATCTAATAAATTTGAAAAAATTAAACATATGTTTTAGGACACTGAAGAAATTCTCATTATTTCAAAATGTTTTTCTTAAAATATTATTATAATAAAATTTACTATAAAAATGTGACTAAATTAACTAGGGTTTTTTCCTTCAATATTACTAAATTAAACCCAATTTCCAAAAAAGTGACCATTTTTCTAAAAGGACAAAAATGTGACTAACAGATGTCACTGTCTAACGTTATGTCACTGTCGAATTTATGTCACTGCGATTTTATGTAACTATTGAATGTCAATGTTGGCTTTCAAGTGACTTTCATATGTCAGTATCACCATCAAATGTGTCACTGTCCAGGTAACCATGTCACTATGTCGCCGGGAATTTTCCGACGACTTTTCCGATGACTTTTTCCGGTGACTTTTTCCATTCAGTGAAACCGCCACCCGCTACCGCTATGGATGGGACACCTACTGCCCCTACCCCGACTCTCCCCCACCCCCACAACTACCCAGCCCCCCTCCCCAGCCACAACCTACCCCCGCCTGTGCATCGCCCAACGAAGCCGCACCCCAGCCCCACCCAGCGAAGCCGCATCCCACCCTCATCAAGAAATGTCCCACCCAGCAAAGCCGCATCTCAGCCCCTGCTCTACTTCCCAACCTTCATAGCACCTCTATCCCACCTAGCTAAACCAGTACACCCGCTCCTACACCACCCCCACCCACACCGCCCCCAGCTACACCCTGGCCCGCCTAAGAGCTCCAGCCCAATCTCAGATCTGTACACATCTCCTGCGCAACAGAGCTGTGAGGCTGTGACAACAACCTTGGGCGCCAGCAAAGGCCAGTGACCAGTCTTCTTGTTCGCCATCGGTCGTCATCGATCTCATTAGCCATAGTTGCAGAGGTCTTGCGCGTCTGAAATCGAAGCTCGAGAAACAGAGAGAAGAAAGGAGGAGTTGCAGCCCTATTTCTCTTCATCTTCGTGAAGAAGAAGGATGCCGGTCGCCATCTTCGTCGCAGGCTCGCAGCTCATTCTCGAAGGAGATGGTAGCGCCGAGGATTCCATCTTCGTCGCAGGCTTGTAGCTCATTCTCGAAGGAGATGGTAGCGCAGAGGACAGAGAGCGTCGAGCGAAATAGATTTTTTAATTTTAAACGGGTCAGTTTTTTGTCAATGTCAAATTGGTCATATTTTTGTCTCTTCAAACTCTACAAGTCATATTTGTGTCGTTGTTTCAATTAACTATAAGAATTCTTTTATAGTCACTACAATATAGAACTAGATGATAATTTTGTTCACTAAAAGTTACTAAGTTGGTCACCTCTTTATTCACTATTCTTATTTTGATCACCTATTAGGAATTATTTCTTATACATCTCCATAATAATTAAAATTTAAAAACTTTAATAATTCATGTTATAGAGCAGACCAAAGCGTAGTTTCATTCACATATAAGGACGTATATATACAGGAGGGGAGATAGGGTTACACTCATTAGATGGGTCAGTACATATGGGTCTGAGTTTTTTTTGAACTACTCGAGTTCGAGCGTGATTTCGAATATATATAATTTAACGACCCAAGCTTAAAGAGGTTTTTTGAACTTGAACAGACTGAACACAAGCTATATTTTGAGTTCGAATAATTATTCAAGCCAAATTCGAGCATAGTGATGGTGACAGCCTAACAACCTGTCTTCCGTATTCGGTTCCAAATTACATGGCACCTACCATTTCAGCCAAAGCTAGTCCAAGGGAGGGAAGCACAGGAACCCCATCCAGACACTCAGCGAGGAGGTTATCCTTTCCTTTGACTTCACATGTGGGGTCATTCAAGTGAAACAGATGTTCCAGCAAAGGCGGTGCTTCATATCGGAAGCATTTTAGTGGAAGTGCGGATAGGTTGAGCATGGATTCTTCTGTTTTCATGCCAGCTTCAGTTGGTAGGCAATCATTTAACAGATTTGTGTGATCCAACTTATTGGTTAGATTGTTTTCCTTGTGTAGTGTCATCGTTTTTCTGCATGTCATCTTTTATGCTGTATTTGAGATTGTGCTTGATTGTGCTTATTCTCTAAAAAATGTGTTTGTTTTGTGCATGGTTCTCCTTACCGACTTCTCATTTTGTGATGATGAAAAAGTGTTACTCCCTGATTTTGGTTTGAAAGTTTCTCGCCCATTATAATTTTCATTTTCATGATTAATTTGTCTTTATTCATTCTAGGATGTTGAAGTAGCTCTAAATGGAAACTTTGATGCAGTGTTGGATATTATTGGTGTTCCAGATCCTAAAGAATTAAGTAATCGAAATCAATGTTATGAAGAGACATGGACACTATATGACATTGCTGGTAAAGGTAAATACAATTTGAATCCTTTCCTCACTTGCTACTGAATTTAACAAAATTATTCGTTTCAATTTTTTTAAATCTTCCTATATTTAGCGAGAGGCTGTGTCATTAGTTGAGAGATATGGACTAACCATCGCCCTTTCCATGACAATTGCTATCTTTCTAAATAAACATATTCAATATTGATATTCTAGTGGAATAGATCATCAAATTTTTTCTATATTGTTTGATCATGTTAGTGTGTTAAGTTGATATGGTACTATCAAGATATTAAGAAAAGATGCATGAGAAAAGAGAACTCATATTATTTGTACTTTTATATGCTTTATTGTTTGGCATGAACTGAATATTGGTGGACTTACACAAGGACTGATACTAAGACATCTCAATTCTCCTACTCGCCAAAACGTGGATTGCTTGAGAAGTCTTTTTCAATTATGCTGAATGTTCCCTGATTCATTGACTTCGACAATACAATGAAGTTTATCTAGGAAAGTGAAGACAAGATAGTCAACCCTCAAGAATTGTGTGTTAAGATGCATAAAAAGAAGTGATATGAAGGAAAGCCAAATTATATAATAGCTATATGTAATACATTGAAATACTAGATTGAATTACATAATTAGTGTGTTATTTTTATATATTATTTTTTGTTTCTTTTTGTTGTATTGAATGTGTTGCCTTTTGTTGCATCATGTTGTTTTTGTTACATCGTGTTATTTTTTATTGCACCGTGTTACTTATTTGGTTTTATTGTTGATCTTGATTATTGTTGTTTATTTGGTTTTTTGTTTATCTTTGGGACTTCTTGAAAGTAACAAAAATCATATATAGATTTATATTCAATCACTTAAATTGATAAATTTGGATTTGTGAATATAAACCAACCACAGGAAACATAAAGAAACAATAAAAACAAAAAAATAGAGCTATAAACAAAATGGATAAAGTAAACAATGGGAAAGAAGGAAACAACAAAAGTATATAATAAGACATGTTAAATTTGTAACTATTTAAAAAGAAACTGAATTACATAATTCATATTTTTAAACTATTTCAATTGTTTCAATGTTTAAAATGTTATTTTAAAATTATTATAAAATGTTATTTTTTTCTATATAGATTTCTAATTATTTTTACATTTTTTAGATTATCATTTTTATAGTTTGTTTTATATATTTTTCATAATTTTTAAGATTTTAGATTACTTAAATCTTCAAATTATTACTATTCACATTATTTATTTTTTATAATATTTATTTTGAAGTTCACATTTTTATTTTTGATATTATTTAAAATAAGTTTGTATTTTCTCTTATTTAGAATTTTTCTATAATTTATACATTTTTAATATCTTGCACTATTTAAATTTTTATTATTTTTTTGAAGTTGTATTACGTTTTTACATATTGCATTTTCAGAATGTCGTAGAATTTTTTAAAATAAAACCTTTAGAGTATTTTAAAAAGTTTTACTTATTTATATACTACGTAGTACTATTTTAATATTTTTAGACAAAATCATTTTATTTTAGTTTGTATATTTATAATTTTCAAGATTTAAAATATTTCCGATTTATTAATTTTTGTGTTTTGTACTTTTTTATTTTGAAAAAGATTTATTTTCTAATTTACATGATTCAAACTTGAATAAATGTAAGAATAATACTTTTTCCTTATTAATGTTGTAGAGGCTGGGCCTCTGATGCGCACGAGTGTATGAGCCCACCATCCTGTCGGGTCGAGGTGGGGGGCTCCTGGGGTGGGAGATTCCACCATTTGGAACAATAAATGACTTCCAGAGTGGACAGTGAAGTAGCTACTAATGTCTATTAGTGAAAAGAAAACGTTAACTAGCCTATTTTTGAAAAAAAGTTTGAAGGATATAAAAGTGATACTCCCTCAGTCTCGAAAAGTTTGGTCAAATTTTCTTTTTTGGATGTCCCAAAAGATTTGTCATTTCCATTTAAAGTAAGGAATATGTGGCTAAAATTAATTCTCCTCCCTTTGCACAAATTTCAACCATACAGTTTTTACTTTATTAATCCACGTGAAAGTCAACTTTGGCCAACCTTTTCGGGACGGAGAGAGTATTTCTTTTAGAAATTGTCCTAAATAGGAGCAAAAACGTTTTTGAAATTCCAAAATAGGAGTATCATGTATTTTTATTCCCTATACATGAGTAATCTTCCAAGTTTGGAAAAAAATGTCATGTTTAAAGCTTATTAATGCCAAACTTGACAAAAATTTACTTCTATTCAGGAAATAACGAACATGATAGTCATATTTTGGAATTTCAAAACTTTTTTACTCCTATTTAGGGAATTCTTTCTATTTCTTTCTCTTTTATGGTCTATTTGTTAGGAAATTGATGTAACGTACCTCGAAAGTACGGTAGCGGAAGTTTAAAATTTTCCCAAACAGTTCTTCCCTGATTATGACAAAATAATGAATATGATAATAATAACAGATCTGAGTTATAACTTACAGATTTTCCAGCCTAACGGTGATAATCTTTGACCTTTGGTATCCACGTGATTTCTCCTTTCCGATAGAACGCTTAGATCTCCCTAAGAGAAAGGCTAGGAAATCTCTTCGCAGGGAAATAAACTGGTAATACTGAATCTGAAAACTAGTCACAGAATTATGAAGGAGGAAGGTGTATTTATACTAGTTCTACACTAGTTTCCTAATCACAACCAAAGTCTTACTCATTAATGAGTTATAGTCCTACCAGGACCAATCCATCATTATTAATTAAATAAGTTGGATAAAACATAATAATAATAATAATAATATTAATAATAATAATAATAATAATAATAATAATAACAACAACAATAGAGAAGTGGCTGCACGCCACTCTCTATATATTATTTATTATTATTTAGTTTATTTTATTTTCCTTTTTAATTCCAAATCAATAAAAGAAAATACCAACTTTATTTAATAATAAATACACCTTAATTAGGTATAATAAATCTAATTTATCACACTTAATTTATTCTATCAAATAGAACTCTCCTTCAACATCATGAATTAAATATAGTTTAATCTAACTAATATTTAATCCATTTCAGTATTACAAATTAAATATTATTTAATCCAATTAATATTTAATTCCTTCTAACAATTGAATCAGAAGGTATAATCACTTGTTGTGTGACCCATAGGGCTTTATATATTAAGCACTAATCAAATTAAGGTCTTGGCAGAATCCCTAGACGATTTACCAGACAATCTTAATATATAAGGACGTTTGCGAGGACTATTCAAACTCCCTGTAATATAGAGCTCATAGTGATACGGTCCTTTCATTCAACGAACATTCAACTAAGTCTAGAACATGATATTGTGTCTATCCCAATAACTCAGTCTCTGTCTCTCAATCTTTCTAGATGATCCATAACGATCATATTCGATATCCAAAACGAATATATCTTTGCATTGGCCAATGACTTTATGATCCATCTAGATATGAGAAGTAGAATGTTCTCTCTTAATCTATTATGAGGAATGAATCCTTTCTTGGCTCAACTACTACTCCTTGTGCTTCGTGATGCACCCAACACATGTCGTATCTACCCCGATTGGAGTGCAAGCGTTGGTCATGGTCAAAGTACATCACTCCGCACATGTAGTACGTATTGACCTCAAGTCGAAGGACTATTACACTACTCTATATGCCGATAATCCCATAGACACATGAATAGAACTTATCAAATGGTTTCTCGGTGAGTATGCCAATATTCTCTAAAATATCTATGTGACCATCATGAATTACAGGAACTCATAGTCGTGAGATCAACTATACTTTCTAAAAGTATGATGCAGTCCACATACCAATCTTATCGCATATCATCAATATCCCATTCTTGATGATCATTGATTGGGGCTATTATTAGGACCTTATGTTATATCATATAAGCTTCCACTTACTTATTGACAACATAAATCCAAGGGAACACAATTATGAATAAAACATTGACAATCGAAAAACAATCATTCATAAAGTGTAATACAGTGTATATATCAAATATAAAAACTAAATGTGATCAAGTACATATGTATTTAAAAAAAATGATTGTCGCTAGGACATATATACTAACACTATTTGCCAAAAATTCTCTAACTTTTATTCATTGAACACAACTCAATTGGGCCAGAACTTAGCCCCTTGAATTTATAATAACAATTTTGCTTTGGGTACACACTTTTCATACACACACATACACACTATAAATAGTCTAAAAAATTACCATTTTTTACCCCCTCCCCTCCCTCACGTGCCAAACAACCCACTCACCCCCAACACTCTCTCCTCTCTTCCCGCTAGTTTCCTTCTTTCTTTCTTCTTCCCACAGCAGCTCAACACATACAACCCCCAACTTTCTTTCATTTTGGGTTGAATGGGCTGAAACAACATGTGGTTCTCGAGCTGAAGGAGATATTCCTGTGGCGGCTGAACTTGACGGAGAACTGGCGGCGGCAGCTGAACTTTACGGACAACCGGCGGTGGCGGCTGAACTTGACGGAGAACCGGCGGCAGCGGCTGAACTTGACGGAGAACCGGCGGCGGCGGCCATGGACGAAGTCCCTAAGCTTGGTATGAGTTTGTGTTGTTGATTTCATTGGCTTTCAACTTAAATATATCTTTGTTCTTCACAGACAATTCTCTGTATTTGTGTAGTGTATAATATCGTGTGTGTGTTTGTGAAGTGTATATAATCTTGTTTGTGTTCAAAATGTTATAAATTTACTTATGTCTGTGTGTAAATAAACTTATATTTGAAATGTCTGTGTGTAAATATACTTGTGTCTATGGGTATATGTACTTATGTCTGTGCGTAAATCTACCACTGCCTCTGCATAAATGTACTTATGTTTAAAATGAGTAAATGTACTTATGGTTTATGTGAGTTATTTGGTGAGCTTGGTTGATTGGTTTATTACTTTTTTCTTGATTTTTTTGCTGCTCATGTTTACTTTAGGTTTAAAGAGCTTTTTACTCTAGATTTAAAGAGCATTGTATGACATTGTTGTGAATGAATAATATATAAATGAGAGTTTTGATGAATAATATAAAATAGATGCTTGAAATTCCATATATGCTTTTGAATACTTAAAGCACATATAACTTGTGAGTTTTACAGTATATATAAAAAAAGATTCACTTCATTATAATTTTTATTGTGTTCTAAGTTTGTTTTACATTGTAATTTTCAGGGAAATGGCATTGCATGTTTTGAAGACAAAGAGTCTTGTTGTTTATATATTTGGGCAACACCTCATGTGACAAATGGAATGATGCCAGAAAGAGGGGGATTGAAATGTTCTGAAAAACAAGTTTAATTGCATGAATTTTGTATTAGACATTTTGTATTGTAAATGTTTAAGCATGAATTTTTGTATTGGTGTTATGAAAATACATAAGTTGTGTTGTGCCCACAAATAAATTGTGTGTCTGTGAAGAACAAACACTCGATGTGTTTGTGGTTTGTGGCGTATTTGTCTGTGCTATGTATCCGATTTTGTATTGTTCGAATAAGTAGAGACTCTTTGCAAAAACATTTACAATTTACCAGGTTTGTTAAAGTACACTTTAATATCTGCCCACAAACACATTGTGTGTCTGTGAAGAACAAACACTCTGTCTGTGATTTGTGGCGTATTTATCTGTGCTATGTATCCGATGTTGTATTGTTTGAATAAGGGACTCTTTGCAAAAACATTTACAAAATACAAAGTTTGTTAAAGTACACTTTAATATCTGCCCACAAACACATTGTGTGTCTGTGATTTGTGACGTATTTGTCTGTGCTATGTATCCGATTTTGGATTGTTCAATTCGAATAAGAGATTCTTTGCAAAAACATTTACAATTTACAAGGTTTGTTAAAGTGCACTTTAATATCTGCCCACAAACACATTGTGTGTCTGTGAAGAACAAACACTCTGTCTGTGATTTGTAGCGTATTTGTATGTGCTATGTATCCGATTTTGTGTTGTTTGAATAAGGGACTCTTTGCAAAAACATTTACAATTTACAAGATTTGTTAAAGTACACTTTAATATCTGCCCACAAACACATTGTGTGTCTGTGAAGAACAAACACATTGTCAAACAACTATTATATTCCACAACAATTTCAATTACACTTACGTTTGAAATTCAATAACACCAAAGTCATATTCATTTTTCATAACATGCAAGATATATCTTTATAAATAAAATCCAATCAAAATACACTTACATTCTAAATACAAAAACATTAAATTTACAAACAAAATAATTACAAGAATTAAATTTTTAATCATCATGTGCTTTGACCCTCTCGTTCTTGCATTATAGTACTTTCCATTGATAGTAGACTCAATAAGTCCACCCAAGCAGTCCAACGATCTCCATTGATAATCTTCTTTATTTTGTAAAAGAAGTGAAAGATTGAATGTAAAATAAGTATAAATTATACTACTTAAAGTAATCAAATTTGAAATTATAACCGAGAATAACACACTAGTCCCCTGGCTTTCACCTTGCTCTTTGATTCTAAGCATTGTATAAATGATCTGGGGTTTGTGCAATTGTGCTAGCATACTCAAAACAAAAACAAAAATCATAAGAGACATGAATGGGACTAGACACAAATTCTTAGATGAAAGTAGTTACTATAACATGTTCGTTATAGTAGACATAGAAACTCATTGAAATAAATTATATTTGCACACATAAATAATGATTTACTTTTATATTGCATCATTTCCTTTTAACCAACTGAATTACAAACTCATAAGAACAAAGTATGAATAACTCTCCACTCATTATTATAAAATGAAGAGTATGAGAAAGCCAAACATTTAAACTCATACTTATGTCTTTTCTAAAACAGTACTCTGGATCAACTTAAACAAGAGGAAAACAAAGTAAATGTGGAAGAATTCATTTTGGGAAAAGAATCCATATTTAAGTAATCACATTCCACACTTCATCAAACTGTAAGGTACCCGAAGTCCAAATTAACCAAGGTATTTTAAGGAATTTGATCATCGATTGGAGAAGTGAATCACAATTGTACAATACATTGGAAAATTCATTACTTTTCCAAAGTCCTACACATTTTTCATTTGGACCTGTTTTAGTAGAGTCACACAGACAATCATATTACTCACACAGACATATGTAGACTTATACAGACAATCATATAAGTCTTCACAGACAAATGGAACCACAACCAATTACATATAAGTTCACATCGACAAATAACTACACAAATGTATCTTTACACAGACAATACGTAGAAAGTAATGACATAGCCTCAAACAAATGTATATTGTTCAAAATCTAAGCAATAGATGGGTTCCAAAACTTCATAAACAAAAATATCTTATGAACCCTCCAAATAAACATTATCAAGTAGCCTTAAATTATTAAAAATCCAAAGATAGAGGATACATACCTTTCGGCCATGGAAGAAAGTGGGGTTCACACCATTTTGAATTGTTGGAGTGAGACAGAATCGACGACGGTTGGCCGGGAGGAGGGTGGCTGAGAGGAGGGTTGCGTTCGATAGACTTGTTCAAAGGGAAGGGTGTGGCGGTTTTCGTCAACAACCTTTGACGGAGAAGAAGCTTCCAGCGACGGGGAGGAGGGCGACGGTTTTCTTCGATGGCCAGCGACGGGGAGGGAAAGGGGATGCACGAAAAATTTGGGAGCGGGGGTTTTCTTTGATGGTCAGCAACCGTTAGAGGAAGGGAGAAGGTGGATGTGCGAAAAATTGGGATTGGGGTTTTTTTTTACAGGTGTGAGGGAGGAGTTATGCTAGAGGTACAAACACTTTTACAAAAAGTCTTACAAAAGGGGTATGTGGCATCATCTTATTATTTAACACATCACATCACATTTACAACACTTTTACATCAATGGTAATTAGAATAGCCACATCACTTGTTTGTAAGTTTTTTTGTAAGTGTGTTTGTACTTCTAGCATTTTTCGTGAGGGAGGTGAGAGAAAGTGGATAATTTTTTTTGAGGGGTATTTATAGTGTGTATGTGTACGTATGAAAAGTGTCTAAGAATAGCATTTTTGTTGATAATAAACCGTATTCAAAATAAATACTTCCTGCTCAGGTCTTCTAATACGGGCTTGGAATAATAACAGGTCGATCGATCTTGGAGGCGGCATGTATGAGCAAGTAGTGAGGGGAGTTCTACTTTGTTTGCCTCCCAAAGCAATCTACCGATTCAGGGTCGTATCTAAATCCTCGAATGAACTCATCTCTCACCCGTTTTTCATTGAGATGTACGACGGCGGGCGGCGGTCCACGTTTGTTGGCCTTGTTCCCGAGAACAAAGTTTTACCAGAGAACAGAGCCTCGCACTCATGTCACCGGACCAGGCGGACCTTACAATCGCACGAACATACTCGCTGTCGATCTTCCTCGTAATCGCCAAATCAAATACGGGTCTCTAGAAGTACAGGATTTCCAGTTCATAAATTCCTCGGACGGTTTGATCCTCTGCAGAAACAGATGTCTTTACCCCAAAGAGTACTACGTTCTCAATCTTATTACGCAAAAGTTCATTCCCCCCGCCTCCCCCGAAGGAGAGGTGGCATCCTTACAAGACCATTGGTTTGTTGTGTAACATTGTGACAGTGCCGAAGGCGGAGCTGCAACTTTGGGGGTTGAGATTTACTCATCCGAATCCGGCGTCTGGACAGCCAAACCAAGTATACCCCTCCCAGCCGTCCCATTTACAAGATTTGTAAGTGTAATAACGGGTGATCCTTTAGTGATAAACGGTGTTTTCCACTGGTTCCTCCGCTGTCGCAAGAAACTCGCACTTTACGGTCCCCATGAAAACAATCTCCAGTTCATCGATGTCCTGTCTGATCCTCCTTGTCTTGATTTCGAATCCCATGCTTTTACAAGGTCACCCATTGAGGACGGGGACGTGTTATGGTTCGGCACTATGAATTCTTGTACCGCAATGGCAGTTTTCATGCTCCCGAAGTGTGTAGAAGACGGGTCTAGCAACAATCTCCGGCCAACTATCATAACCTGTGATGAGTGGGTGTTGGTATACCGCATAAGTGTTGATTCCCTCTGGAATGATGTGGTCTTGCGTACCATTAGTGAAAGGAACGTATTCTTGGATGCCTTTGTTCCGGCTAAGAAGAAGAGTTCTCCTGCCCTGATTCTCAGGGTTGAACGAGGGGCGTATATCTTTATGATCTTGACCACAAATCCATGGAATGTATTCGATATTGTGGTGATCTAGTAACCAAGAATGAGGGTGGAGATAGGCTAGATGGCAACAACAATTCTCTAACATTTTGTCCTTATTTAGAACCTTCTTCTCTTTTAGCATACGCTCTTAATTAGTTAGGTTAGGCTGGTTCTATAATTATTAAGTTAGTTTCATTATTCAATATTAGTCAAGATTTTTTTTCATTCTTCTTCAAAGTTGAGGTGAACTATTATAAGAACTAGTATTTCACCCGTGGGATGCACGGAAATATTTTGTATGTATATATAACACACGAAGATGTCATATAACACGATAGGAACAAACAATATATGCACGTAGTAAATTTGAATCATGTAAATTTGAAAAATAATAAAAACAATAACATAAATATCAAGTAACGTAACTTGTCATGTACGTAGTATATGTTATTGAAAAAAATGTAATGCAACTCCTTTTAAAAAGTACTTTTTAATTATTTATTGTTTGCAATGAAAATGAATTTTTGTATATGTGTTTATTATTCAAATAGTACATGGTGTGTTTATACTATACTATATTACTATGAGAATATTACCCAAAATAGGACTAATTGCTGCCATGTTTTGGTAGTACCAGACTTCAAACATGACATTAGTTTCTAAACTCGGCAGTAATTACTCCTATTTTGGGAATAAAAAACACAATAGTCCTACTTTGGAATTCTCAAATAGAAATTACTCCAAATAGGACTAAAACTATGACAAAAACTAAAAATATGACTTGCTATGTTTTTCTTTTCGAAATAGGACCATATTAGTCCCATTGGAAACATACCTATTTTTCATTCCATTCTTACCCTTCCATTAAATATGAGTTAATTAAATGTTTAATTCATAACAAATTCAAAAAAAATCAAAATTTCGTAGAAAAATAATTAAAAAAATTATAAAATATTTATAAAATAAAAAATTTTAAAAAATAAAAATTTTAATTTTTTTAAAAAAATTAATAATAGTAAAACTCCATTAAAAAATTAAAAAAAAAAATTGGATGTCTTTTCCACTGCCTGTACTACCTCGCTGCACCATCATCTCGGTCGGTGAAAAAAATGCCATTTTTCCTAAAAACTGTCTTTTTCGGAAAATGCCAAAAACACGGCATTTTTCTCTTTGAGAATGCCAACATTTTCATCATTTTCTGCCATAAATATGGCATTCGTAATGAACTTGGTATTTTTCCCCTGTTGACTGGAGGTGGTGATGCAGAGGCAGCGGTGAATTTTATTTTATTAAAAAATTAAATAGTTTTCATTTACCAAAAATTAAAATCTAAAATAGAAAATAGAAAATTGCCTGATATAGGTCCAAAACATCGACAAAATTCAAAAACAGGACTAAATATCTCTCATTCCATGAATAAGACTTGATTAGTCTTACTTAAATAATAACTTGATAGTGTTATTTACAAATTTTGTTCACTTTTAATTCTATTTAGTCAATATAAACTACTCAAGGTTAAATCAGCTGGAGTATTTTAGTAACAATTTTGTTTCAAGCCTTCAACCGAATACACAACCCACCAGCTGATTTAACCCAGCAGATCAAACCCACTCAATAAACAGTATATGGTCGATCATACATCTCTTAGGGTTCTAGAAAGATGAAACGATTCATCTTCCACATCCCAACGTTTAGGCTTCTCTCCATTGTTCTAAACTCTAGCTTTTCGCTTAAGAAAGACGGAGTAATTGTTTTTAATGAACTTTGTCACTGACTTCTCGCTGGACCTTTTTAATCCTTTATCGTAGATCAAATGAAGGTGTTGTGAGAGATTTTTGGATGAAAGCGTTACAATCCTCCGCCGCAAATCTTCCACCTTAATTCGTTTAATATTTTTTTCTTTTTACTTTCACATGACAAAATTTACGTACTATAAAAAAGAATCGATTTTCCTTGGGAAAATAAGTTTAAATAATACAAACTATCTTCCATAAATCAAGAATAATACATACTTTGAAAATAAGTTTTGATAATACCAACTATTTAAATATAGACCAAAAGTGATATAGAGCATTTTTTTATTAAATATTTAACCATTTAACTCATTAAAAACTTCTATCAAAATATCTAAAAAGTGAATATATTGCCAAATATCATTTATTTGATGGGTTGCCATTAATTTTTGACGTCTTGAATGAGCAGTTGTTTTGTCAAAAAGTGAATCCGTATTATTTTTATTTTACATTCAAATAGTTGCTATTATTAAAAATCATTTTCAAAATATGTATTATTTTTGGTTGTTGGTACGTATTATTTGAAGTTATTTTTTTATTTTCCTTTGATTCGACTCGTCATACAAAAGGACAAAAGATAGATCGATTTGCTCTAGACCTGCACAATTCTGGGCCGGGCCGCCCGGCCCGCCCATATAAATGGGCGGGTTTGGACACATGCTTTAGCCCACCGGGCCGGGGCCGGGCTGGCCCGTTTAAAATATGGGCGGGCTTGGGTTGTAATATAGGCCCAGTCGTGCCTAAAAGCCCGGCCCGTAAACATATTTTATATATTATATTATATATATTATTCTATATATAATTATACATTATATGACTATACGTATAAAACTTAAAATACTTGGAAGTATAATTTCATTACCATGTCATTATTCACAAGTGTCATTATTTTCCATTATTTTTACCTTGTAAGGTTCCGCAAGTATGTTCAAGATCGGTGATGGACGTTCAAATGATAACGAGGATGAAGAAGATGAAATGCTACTCTAGTGTAAGACAATTCTTCTCTTTCATAGACGGTAAGATTCAGAAATCACAATATAGTAGTTTTCATTATCTCAATGTTTTTACTTGGTTTATATATAATATTTGGTTTTCATTATTTGATATTTATTGGCACTTGGCAGAGCAAACTGGGAGATCAATTACTTTCTGGTGAAATGAAGGAGTGTCGAGAAGTTCTTGGAATCTTGGGATACCAATTACTTTTTGTGTTCTACTATTTAAATTTGAACTGTAATGATATACATTTGTTAAGTCTTTTTGGAGATACTCTTGACTATTTCCGCTGCACAATGTGAATATTTGATTGTGTTTTTAATTATGGAATATGGATGCTTATTTGGAATTTGGATGCTTTTTATTTTCCAGAATCGTTTTGTGTTTTGCATTTAAACGTATTCTTGTGTTCAAAATGTGTTGTGAGTACATTAATTATTTAATTGCATTTAAAATGTTGTGATGTTATTTTACAAATATTTTCATTTTTTTAACAAAGTTGACAAAAGGATATTTTCCGGGCCCAAAAGCCTGGTGGGCAGCCCGACCCGCTCTCATGGGCGGGCTTGGACATATGAGGAGGCTCGTTTTACCGGGCCGGGCCGGGCCCGCGCACTACAAGTGGGCAGATTTTTTAGAATAAGCCCGGCCCGAACCCAGCCCAAGCTCGTGTTTGTGCAGGTCTAATTTGCTCTCATGCTACGGAAAGATGCATCATTATTCTCTTTATTTATTCATTTCCTATGTATCAAAATAAAAATTTATTCTTTTTATATATTAAAAAATGTTTTCTTGGTAGCCTTCGGAAGTGAATACCATTATGGAATTTTCAATTTTTAAGAATTTACTCTGATTAGAAAATTTCCAATAAGAGGTGTAATTTTACACTATATGAAGTATTATGGGTTTCTAATTTTTTTATGACCGATGTTGTTAAATAGAAAAACAGGAGTTCCTTGGATTAGGAGCACCACTCAAATTTTATCAGGTGATGCCTTTTTTCATTATATCCTGCTATCAAAACTTTTTAATTTAAAAAAAAAGGATGACACCCTATCCCTGAGGCCCCCCAATCCCGATCGGACGGTACGTTGGAAGGATGTAAATTGGACTATAATCCCAATCTGACAGATAGAGAGTGAGACTCTGTCCCCGGTACTTGCAGAGGCCCTATGCATTTTTAGCATAGTGACTCCTCATCGCAGTTGCCGGGATTCAAACCCGGGACCTAACCCTTGTGGCACTTCCTTGCTACCAGTTGAGCTACGCCCACCGGTAACTTTTTAATTTAAAGTATTATGTATAATAATTTATCTTATCAAGTGTTCTGTTTTTATTTTCTTCTTTGAAGGTGATTTGTTCAGTATATTTGTCCATGCCTCTTCGGCTCTTCACATCAATCGCAGACTAATTGAAATGATAAGTATAGGTCTAATCTAAACTTACATTCAACAAATTGTATGGTTTTTAGTTAATTACTACGTATTATAGAAATTGTCTTAAATAGGAGTAAAAACGTTTTGAAATTTCAAAATAGAAGTATCATGTATTTTATTCATTGAATAAGAGTAATCTGCCAAGTTTAGAAAAAACTGTCAAACTTATATGTCATTCGGCTCTTCAAACTATCAAAATGTTTAAAAAGCCTAGTAATGTCAAACTTGTCAAAAATTTATTCCTATTTAGAGAATAAAAAACATGATACTCCTATTTTGGAATTTCAAAATTTTTTTACTCCTATTTAGACAATTTACTCTTATTATTACGCACAACACCTACATATTCACTACGCACTCTTTCTTAATTTCTATTTTCAAAATTTTATAGAGTTCTACATTTCATTTTATTATTGAAAGAATGTATTTTTTCCAGCAAGTTATATGTCATGGCCGTGAATAGGTAGGATGTGAATAAAGTATGTCCAGATTTGATTTCCACTATTAGCATAATATTATTTGTGTGGAGCATCATGAATATAATTGCAGTAGAAATCTTAAATACGTAAGAAATATTAAAACAATTACGTGGCTTTTCAAATCAAAATCAAGAGATTTCTAACCTCTTTTGTCATGAAATAGGATGGATGCATAATCCCTCAAAAACTTCATAATACAATAGCTCTTAACACATCACCAATAGGTAAGCACCAAGACAGCCCTGGAAATTTTAGTTGCTCATTTCGTATGGCTATTCATTTGCCTCGACAGAGGGTGTTATTTTTTGTATGGCTTCATCAAATGTGTACTGCAGCTAATACATACTCCGTATTTGTAATGGCACGTATATATACTCATATGGATCACTCTAGTGAATACTCAAATTAAAACACGTGTCGTAGCCCAAAGAATGAGGCTGGGCGGCAGAAATAATTACCATTAACACTTCGTTGCAACTTTTTCCTTGATTTGTCTTGGCGCCAACTTTCTTTTGCTATTATATTATAATAGATTTTATGAGATAATTTCTTTATACATATTGTAATTTTTACATTAAAAATAAATGCACTTCTCAAATTTGGGATGAGCTGCCAAAATTAATACAAACACAACAACAACATTCAAGCCTTAGTCCCAAAAGATATTGGGGTCGGCTAACATGAATCGATACATGATATCACAACCAAAAGGAAAAGAAGGAATAAAGATAAAAAGATAAGCTATTATGAAAAGATAATATAAAAAAGATGAATATATATATATATATATATATATATATAAATGATAAAATAAAAAGGTTGCAAATAATGCTTATAAATATATATATATATATAAGGATAAAAAAACTACGAAAAAAAAAAGATGAGGGAAAAAAATTATCAAGATCACTCCTTCACGTGAATACCCGCCCTCCACTTAGTTCTCTCCAAAGTCATGCCCTCATCCAACCCCAGAAAAAGCATATCACTTCGAACTCCCCTAACCCACGTCTGTTTGGGTCTTCCTCTCCCTCTCTTCCCTGCCTCTTGTCCACACATCTCAACTCGCCTAACAGGTGCATCACTCGGTCTTCTACGCACATGACCAAACCACCGTAGACGCGACTCCCGCATCTTGTCTTCAATAGGTGCTACTCCCACCCTTTGTCTGATTGTCTCATTCCTCACGCGATCCTTCCTAGTATGCCCACACATCCAACGCAGCATGCGCATCTCTGTCACACTCATCTTATGAATGTGACATTGTTTCACCGCCCTACACTCTACGTCATACAGTAATGCAGGCCTAATTGTTGTCCTATAAAATTTACCCTTCAGTCTAGTCGGCATACCTCGGTCGCATAGAAATCCTGACGCACTCTTCCACTTCATCCACCCTGTTCTGATTCTATGGGATACATCTCCATCTAACTCACCGTCCTTCTGAATTATGGAGCCCAAGTAACGGAACATATCGCTGACCGGTATCTCCTTACCATCCAGAGTAATTCCGCTATTACCACTACTTCTACCTCCACCAAACTTGCACTCCATGTACTCTGTCTTGCTCCGACTTAGTTTGAAACCCTTATTCTCCAATGTTTGTCGCCATACTTCCAACTTTGCTTTAAGACCCGATTGCGTCTCATCAATCAATACAATATCGTCGGCAAACATCATGCACCACGGTATATCGTCTTGAATTGACTTCGTAAGTTCATCCATTACTATGGCAAATAAGAAAGGACTCAAGGCCGATCCTTGGTGCACTCCGATAGTAATAGGGAACTCTTTAGTCCTCCCTACACTAGTACGAACACTTGTAGTACAATCCTCATACATATCCATGATGATGCTGATATACTTGCGTGATATGCCTTTCCTAGTTAAGGCCCACCAAAGAACTTCTCGAGGTACCCTATCATATGCCTTTTCTAAGTCAATGAACACCAAATGCAGATCCTTATGAGCATCTCTATACTTCTCCATAAGGTGTCGAAGAAGGTGAATGGCCTCAGTTGTTGAGCGACCAGGCATAAAACCGAATTGATTTTCTGAAATCTTCACAGTCCTTCGAAGTCTTTGCTCAATCACTCGCTCCCAAAGTTTCATGGTGTGACTCATAAGCTTAATCCCTCGATAGTTGGCACATTCTTGTACATCACCTTTATTCTTAAATAAGGGGATAAGAGTACTCTTCCTCCAACTCGTTGGCATCTTGTTGTTTCTCCAAATCATGTTGAAGAAACTTGTTAACCACTCGACGCCTCTCTCTCCCAAACTTCTCCAAGCCTCGATCGGTATGCCATCTGGCCCCATTGCTCTTTTCCGTCCCATCTTCCTCAGAGCTTCTTTAACTTCCGTTGTTTGGATCCTTCTCACAAAATCACGGTTTACCATACAATCTGGTATGGACAAATCACCGATATCTTGCGTTTTGTTCCCGTTGAATAGTGTATCAAAGTATGACCTCCACCTTTCTTTTATCTCTCCGTCGTCCATTAATATCCTCTGATCAACATCCTTCACACACTTAACTTTTGTAATATCTTGAGTTCTGCGATCACGAAGACGAGCAAGTCTATAAATATCTAATTCTCCTTCCTTAGAGTCCAACTTTTCATACAACTCCTTGTTCACTTTCCCTCGTGCTTCCCTTACGGCTTTCTTTGCTTGTCTTTTAGCCTCCCTGTATGCTTCTATGTTCTCATCACTCCAATTTGTCCCCAACTTTTTGTAGCAATCTCTTTTGTTCCTTATGGATTGTTTCACCTCATCATTCCACCAAGATGTGTCCTTTTTAGGTGGCCGACATCCTTTAGATTCTTCAAGTACCTCCTTTGCCACTTTGTTAATCGTCAACTCCATTGATAACCACACATCATCCACATGTGTTTCATTATCAATATGCCATACATCTTCACCGACCATTTTGTGTGTAAAGCTTTGTTGAAGATCTCCCTCAAGCCTCCACCACTTTATCTTTGGTTCCACTTGTTGTTTAACTTGTCTTCTATGGTTCTTACCTCGAAAGTCAAGCACAAGAATCCTATGCTGAGTGACAACACTCTCACCTGGAATAACCTTACAATCAGTGTAGCTAGTTCTCCAAGTGCTCCGTACTAAGAAGTAGTCAATTTGGGTACTATTAGCTCCACTTTTATAGGTTACAAGGTGAGAGTCTCTTTTCTTAAACCAAGTGTTCATTATAGCCAACTCATACGTCAAGGCAAAATCCAAAATGTTCTTTCCCGCCTCATTCCTAGTGCCAAAACCATGTCCGCCATGAATATTCTCAAAGCCATCACGACTCGAGCCCACATGCCCGTTGAGGTCACCTCCTATGATCAACTTCTCTCCCCTTGGCACTCGTCGCACCACGTCCTCAAGATCTTCCCAGAACTGTTGAGTTGTAGATGTATCCAATCCCACTTGTGGTGCATAGGCACTTACCACAGACACAATCTCACCTCTTATCACCAATTTAATGCTCATGATGCGATCGTTCTTCCTGAAGACTTCTACCACATCCTCAACATAGTCACGCGCCACAATAATGCCTACCCCATTTCTAGTCTTATCTCTCCCCGAATACCACAACTTAAAACCTCCGGGATTAATCTCGCGTGCTTTCTCACCAACCCATTTAGTTTCTTGCACACACATAATGCTGATATTCCTTCTGCTCATAACCTCGACTACCTCGGAAGATTTGCCAGTAAGAGACCCAACATTCCATGTCCCAAAACGCAATCTAGCATTCCACCTTCTGTTCTTAGCCCCATCTCGGACCCCACCATGCCCTTGCCTATTTGACATCATCCCCGGGCAATGGGATGACGCGCCGCTTCTGGGCGGCGACCTAGCAACCTTAGCATTCTTTTCACCACACCCAGGTCTATCAAGTGTAGCGCGCCCTTGCATATTTGACACCACCCCCAGGCGGAGGGATGACGCGTCACTTACGGGTGACGACCTAGCATTAACGATATTCATATTTCGATTCATGTCATGTGATGTGACTAGGTGATACTGTTGGCCGTCACACGTCTACCACAACACCCTCCTCCTTTATCCTGGCTTGGGACATGCATGATACCAAAAAAATGATATCATGGCGGAGTTAGCTGCCAAAATTAATGTGGGGATTTAAAATTACACCAAAAATTAAATGTTTCTTTTGGTTATGTCAGGAATATTACCAACTTCAGTCCATTTGCAAAGGAGGAGAGGTGATGTTCGAATCCACTGTAAAGTATGCGAAGAAGAAACGGAAACTGAATTTCATTTGTTCAAAGAGTGTCCGGCGGCTAGGCATGTCTGGCACCAGCTGGGAGCAATTTTTTATAGAGATGGCGGGACCTTTAAATCATGGATCCGAAGTTATTTTGATAACTTGCAGCACGAGGACTTAGGGAAAATTTATTGCATCGCTATGGAGTCTTTGGAAAGCTCGCAACGAAAGGGTATGGAAGAACAAAGAGGTCGTTTGGTACCAAGTTATTGAGAGTAGTGCCACCATGCTCAACCATTGGAGGGAGGTGCAATGAAGAACAGATAAACCTCCCCCGAATGCTACGACTCAACGGTGAAAGAGGCCAACGGAAGATTGGAGGAGGCGTATATCTTTATGATCTAGACCCCAAATCTATCAAATGTATTCGATATTCTGGTGGCCTAGTGATCAAGAATGAGGATGAAGATGGCATTATTTTCTAACTCTATGTCCTTACTTTGAGCCTTCTTTCTTTTCGGCATACGCTCTTGATTAATTAGGTTGGTTCTATTATCAAGTTAGTTTCATTATTAGTCAATTCCAATTCCTTGAAGTCACAAATTTCTTGCATTCTTCTTTGAGGTGAACTGTTATAAATTGTAGCTTTCCTAGAGATAGACCAAAATAGAAAGAATTGAATAGCATATACGGAGTAACTTCTATATTCCAATGATAATTTATTGTGTTTTATCTTGTTTTCTTAATTGTTTTGTTATGAATTAAGATTAGTTCTTGGGAATTTAAGACACCAGGTCCAATAGTTTTAATCTCGCAGTCTCACTGGTGGAACATAAGGGCCACAACCCTCTGAGAAAGATAGCATATATTGATGGAAATCTCTCATGGAGTCATGGTTGCTTCAAAAAGAGTACACTTTGCATAGGCTACACACCATTATCAGCGAATTAAAGTATCAATTAGTGCAAAAACAGCATCCAGAATTCCAGAGTATCAGTATCAATTCATTAGTCTCAGAGTAATGCTGCTTATTCTTTTCCCAGGAAAAGGATCCTTAAAATTGCTTAGTCAGGAAAATCAACTGGGGCAAAATATGTAATTATTATATATTCTGCAATTACCTTACAAGTATAAGAGTTTAGCTCTTCATACATCACTCACTTCCCTAAGAAATCTGGGGTTTTGCTAACTAATTGGGAGTTGGCTCAGAACAAGAAATAGAGGATGATGATCTGACAGTCTGCAGCGGCCGCCGGAAAGAAGAACTCTTCATCGCCCTGTACCAGCTAGAGCTTCTGCTTCCAGAAAGAGATGGCTTAGAAGAACCCATCTCAGGCGCCGCCTCCGCCGCGGAGGAGCAAATTATTGAAACCGAGGAGGAATCCATCGATGCTGCTCTTCTTGGCGGTTGAGGACTCACTCTGTGCTCAGCCAAATCGCTCTGCGTTCGAATCCCTTTTCGATTTCTCTGTTCAAAGGTTCCCATTGGCGGCAGCACCTCCCCTCCGTTGACCTCTTCATGGTTTTCCGGCCCGTCTTCCGCCTCTGTTTCTTGATCACCGGCGACCTCCACATCGCCTTCACCTTGCTCGACGGCGGCGTCAGCTTCGGTGACCACTGGCGCGCGGCACATTGGGCAGTTCTTGTGTGACCTTAGCCAGGTGTCAATGCAAGAAACGTGGAACGCGTGGCTGCATTTAGGCAACAGACGGAGGCTCTCGTCTTCTTGAAATTCCGTCAAACAAACGGAGCAATCCGACCCCTCCGTTAACCCCTCCCCCGTTTTATAACTGAAAACGAGTATCGACTCGATGACGGACTCCGGGAGACCGACGGTCCGGATATGCCAAATCGCGTGATCCACCTGCGTCTGGTCCGCGTCGATGAAATCCTCCCGGGATGTTACCGGCGGAGGAGGACCCTCCCTCCGGTACCGCTTCAGGATACTGAAGTAGCTGAGGAAGACGAAAACGGCGGCGAGGAGACAGAGCAAGAAGATGAAAAAGGGGGGCATGTGATATCTTTGGGCATTGGAAAGAGGGGTAAATTTGCGGGCACACTCGTGGGAACAATTTACGGAAAAAGTGTAACAATCGAAACATTTCTTGTAAATTTCAAGATTCAGGTGGTCGTCTTGTTGGAGTAACAAGCTTCTGGCCATGGAGGGAAGGGAGAAGACTCAGAAGAGGCAGACAGAATTGTTGTTAGCTCAGAAGAAGATAAAAAATGAAGGTGGTTGGGGGTGAAAATGGGGATGAAGAGATTTGGGTGCGTTTTTTGTCACTAAAGTCAAGTGGAGTTTACTTGGTTTCAATACGCGCAACTTCGTGGTGGGGGCTGGTCGACATTGGACTCGACAGTGAGCAGTACTATTTGATTTTCATGTAAAAAGCTCTTCGTTTTTCTCTCTTGCCCAGCTAATCACATTTATCACGGTCTCGGTAAAGAATTGCCAAATAGTCCCTTATAATTTTGTCAATTTTTTTTTATGTTCCATTATTTTTACCATTTTCTCTTTTAAGTAAAGAATTTGTGGTTTCAGTTAATTTTCTCTCCTCTACACAAACCATAATCATACAGTTTTTACTTTATTAATCCCTGTACCGGTCAAACTTTGCAAAGTTATTAGGGACGGAGGGAGTGAGAATTAACTGGAACCACAAATTCTTTACTTAAAAAGAAAAGTGGCAAAGTTAGTGGAACATCCAAAAAAGGAAATTTTACAAAGTTTTAAGGGTCGGAAAAAGTAATTAATAAGAAGTTTTCAAAATCTACTAAGAAAAACAGAGTAAAATACTAGTATAATCTAATACATCATCTATGACATTCATATTTTCTCATTTTCCTTTCCTAGCTGTAACATTCATATTTTTTCATTTCCGAACATTCCCACTATACCATTTATAATTTTGAAAATAATACACCATTTTAACTATCAAATATATTATGCTGTCTAATTGCGTAGTTATCTTCAAAAGTTCATTTGACGGCCTTCCCGATTGAATTTTTAGCTGAAATTTGGTATGAATAAACTAGAATTAATGAAGAAGATACTCAAAAAAGTTCATCAAAAAATTCCGCCGGAAACCGCCCCAAATAGCAACGGGCGGACAGAGCCTCCTATAAAAGGGCTTATTTGCACTTTTTATGAAAGTTCGAGGGCTTATTTGATAATTCTCCCTATTAATATAGATCTCGGGAGAAGGGGTCTGCCTCTTCTTTCGATGTGGGTATTATGATTTTTTTGGCAATTCTTTCTAACATATTATAGTATATGTTCTATGTTAATGTCAACATCCTTGAACTAGAATCAGATTCAAACATGTGACATTCTCCTTGAGAGTGTCACAGTTATGCCATTATTATATTTGTTAGGAATATCTTATGGTGTCCAATCTAATTAAATATCTTGATAGTTTTAAACTCGAGAGTTTTAAACTCGAGAGTTTTAAAACTCGAGAGTTTTAAACTCGAGAGTTTTAAACTCGGGAGTTTTAAACGCGAGAGTTTTAAACTTGCGAGTTTTAAAATTGCGAGTTTTAAAATTGCGAGTTTTAAAATTGCGAGTTTTGGAATTTCGAGTTTTGGAATTTCGAGTTTTAGGAACTCGATGTTTAGAATTTCGACTTTCTTAAAGATTTCGAGATTTTTGGAATTTCTCGATGTTTTGAATATTTCAAAGTTTGCAGTTTCTTGAAACTCAGAATTGTTCGAAACTTGATATTCTTCGCAGTTCATCGAAGCTTTACATTATAGGATATCTGGATGAATCTCTGTTTATCAAAGTTTTTAGAAGTTTCGATGTTCTGATGTTTTTTAAACAGTATGTTTTCGACTTTCAGAGGTTTTCGAAACTCTAAAGTTTTCGATATTCCAAACATTTTGAAATTCTGAAGATTTTGATATTCTGAAGTTTGTTTTGCAGGTGGATTTCGCCATTACTCTTCAAGGCAAACTCGAAATTAAAATCTCAAGATTTAAACCTCGAGATTAAGATTTCGAGTTTTTGCCTTAGAATTTTGTTTAATTTCACCTGCTCTCGAAATTCAACATCGAGAACCTCAACCTCGAAGAATTTCCTCAAAAACTCAAAATTCGAGATTTTCTGCAACACCGCACTGTTTTGGCCATAACTTTTGATTCGGTGATCCGATTTAAGCGATTCTTTTTTTGTTGTAAAGCTAACAAAAAGATCTACATTTATTCTCAGGCTATGTCCCAGGTCAAAACTTAGGCAAATCTGTTCAAATTCTTCCAAAGTCTAACCTGAGGTCAAATCTTTTCTAAACACCACTGTAGAGGTCCAAAAATTGTAGATAATTCAATCAACCTCGCGTCAACGGTCATCTTACAACAATCAACAATCAAATACTGATGACTCCCCTAACTCATCAACATTGTGTGATCCTCAAACATGCTGAAATTCCAAATGATGAGCTTAGGGAAACCATCATGTGTGGTACCTGTTCAAATTGCTCCACACACATGGCGGGTATGACTAGCTCTGAGCAATCAATCCTTGCACATTCTGAGGGGGGGTTTCAATTTTCTCCTCCTGGCGCCTTACACCGACAAAGCAAGGAATCTCTCAACGGATGCAACATTCTAGGGGGAGTGTTCAATGTTATCCTCCCTGGTGCCTAACAATGACAAAGCATACCGAGTGCTCCAGTTGAGGGGGAGTACAGAGAGAAAATCAATGAGAGAACATGCTCCTATGGCTTAGTAAACCCAACTAAGCCTACCCAAGGGACAAAGCCGAGAGTAAGTGAGTGAGTGAGTGAGTGAGTAATCATTATGAGAGTTAGGAAGCAGAAGGCTCAAGTGAGAAGGAAAACAATGATCAATGATGAGTCTGCTACTTCAACTGCCTGCTATGTATTGAACATTTACTCCTAGCCACTCAAATACTCTGGACAATTCCCAAATAGGTTCAGGACTGATTTAATCATATCCCGGGTAGAAGTCACTGCATCTTGTCCAACAGTGCATGTTTAACCCTACCCAAGACCACTCACTTGTCTCCCAACAGACGGATGCTTAATCATATTTCACGGGGAACCACATCTCCCATTATTGTCTCCTTCCGAGGCAAGTAATACTGACTACAGTGGCCTCAGCCCCATGCCACTGAACTTTCATTGATCACGTCGTGTCTAGTTACTCACTCCCAAATGTTTTGAAATTTTCTAGGACACAGACACACTTTTTGAGTCAGTTGAAGGTCTACATGACCCGCGAGAACTTCCATAGGGCTCATCTATTACAGATGTAGACCAATGATTGGAAGGAAGTCCTGCTGTTGCAACATAAGAATCACCAACATTTTTAGGCCATCGCTTCAGAGTTTATCTCTATAGTGATGATAATGGGCGTCTACACGACCTCGGGGGCATTATCATTTTACCATTCTGCTTGTTTTTCCTGTTTTATTTCCGCAGAATAAAAGAATAAAGGCATGAAGCCCCGATTCATCGGATCGTCATGAGGGGGAGAGTGGTCCACAAGCTGTCAACTCTCAACAAATCATTCTCGGACACTTCTCTCCTCCACCACTCTCTCTACTATCTCCGCAACTCAAATGGTCAGCTATGCTCACTAGTCAACCATCATTTTCCGCTGTGCCACCGACAAGGTCTCCTCAAATACATTCATTTCAAATAGTCAAAAAGACTACTTTGTGGAGGAGACAAAGGTCAGATACTCGCGTACTGAAGATGAATCCCGTGCGCCCCTAATAATCATCAGAACATTCATTCTAGAGGCATCACCGGACTTCATCCAAGCTGATCAAGAGCAACTTTTGGAAGGTAAGAATTACAAGAAAAAGATTCCTCAAACCCGGCATCAAAGATCAAACTGCCAAGAAAACATCAAAAGGGAGATTGCGAGGATTTCTTCATAAAGCCTTCTCAAGAAGTCAAGTTCAAAGACAAAGGAAGCTGAATAACAACAAAGACAAAGATATCTGCACTGCAATGCTGATTCAACACAATTGAACACCAAGGGGGAGATTGTTAGGAATATTTTATGGTGTCCAATCTAATTAAATATCTTTGTATTTGTGTAGTTATTAATTAAACGTGTAATACATGCCACAAATGTGTATCAGCCCGTTAGCTTCTTTGTAACTCGTAAGTTAGCCAACTTCTCCTATAAAAGGAGGCTAACTTACGGGAACCCTAACGATTGAGGCTTTAGAGAATAGAGGCGCAGAGAGAGAGAGAGAGAGAGAGAGAGAGAGAGAGAGAGTGAGAGAGAGAGAGAGAGAGAGCAGCGGCGTTCATCAAGGTATACAAGATTTGGTTTTCATCTAATATCTTTCTATTTGCTTCTTCTTATCTGCTATGATTGTGTGATTGTTAAGTTTTGGGACTATCAATACCACAAGGTACTTGACCAACTTATTGTTGTTCCACTTATGAATTTTCATAATTAATTATTTAATTAATTAGCATTAATCCGGAAAAAACTCTTTTTTATTTTTCCTTCGTTACAGTACACAGTTTCAATATTTTCTCATCATACCCTTAATAATTTATATCCTCTTTAACTATTCTTAATTTCACCTACTTTTAAATGAGAAGATATATATGTTACGGAGGTAGTAATAAAATTTGGTGGGTAATAAATATGGAAAATCTAAAGTTCTGGTAGGAGACTGTTATTATTCCATATATTTGTTGATAGTACTCATTCGGGTTTCATATGTTAGAAATGTATAAGTTCAATGGGTAATAGTGGAAATGATTGTGTTTTCCTAGAGTCCGTTTGCAAACGCTGAAATTGGTTGAATTCTGTTGATGCTTTTGTGAAGATTCACACCCAAATATCTCATTGGGAGAGAAGTCATCTTCATACCTAACAAATTTTTTAAAATAGCATATCTGACAGGGGTAGTTTTCCCACAAATAAAAGAACTTTTAGATAAATTAATTGTTTGACCAGAAGCTTCTTGATAGCAGTTGAGAAAATTCTTAAAATTGAGTAGACTCCTGGATTCCCCATTTAAGAAAACTAGCAGATCATCAGCAAAGCTCAGATGAGAAAGAGGGAATCCCGAGCTTCCCAGCCAGTAGGGTTTAATCTCACCAGAGTCCATAAGATGATTGAGCCCCTAGAAAAGCCTTCTGAGGCAATGATAAAAAGGAATGCAGAAAGAGGATCTCCCTGTTTAACCCCTCTAGTAGGCTTGAAAAAACCATAAGGCCTGCCATGGATCAAAATGGATAGAAAAGTAGCT